TGAAAATCCCTACAAACATTTCTTGATTTGGGTGGGAGACCTTTATGGTATGCTCATTAAATCTTTCCATGTACTCTCGAAGGGACTCGAAAGGACCATGTCGTACATTAAACAGGCTGGTGGTGGACACCTTCCTGAGCTTGTTGGCTGCAAAATGTTGGACCATCTTGTAAGGCATCGACTAGAGCATTGCCAAATCCAGATATCAAAAGAATTATCGCAGCCGCCGTTAGCCGAAAACATCAACCTCAATTTTATTTCGACTTGGTTAACTCAATGAATTAACTCACCAACCGGGAATAAAAAGTTTATTGGTATGAATTGATTAAAATACAAATTTATATTATGTTTTAATGTTGGATAAGATGAACTATAATCTTTTCCATTTGTAATTATTTTAAGAAACTCTTTATCACTCACCCTAAACAATGGGTGTCGTTCCTTTCTCCTACATAGGCAGGAGGCACCCCACCTTTTATAGCTTTTAAAATTAGAGAGGATGAGCTGGGAACATCGGAAAATCATGTGCCTTATTAAAAAAATAGAATTCTAAATAAAACACTGAATTGGACTATCAAGACGGGAAATTGAAGAAACATAAGTCAATTGATCTTGTTTGGGCAAGGATCTGTCACTAAGCTAGATAGCATCTTAAAATTTCTACTAATCGATTGAATTATTCTAATTCATATATCAGGAGAAACAACATTGAAAAATACTTATGCCCCCAACAAAAGTAAGGGTCGAGATCGACAAGACCTCTATGGAGGCGACATATCTACATGCTGACAAGATCGGAAGGCACATACTCATCAATCAAAGTCGCCGAAAAGACCAAAGAGCGGGATATGACACAAGTTCCTTCATGAAATTCTTAAGAACGAGTTAATATCTCAGAAATTTGTAATTTATTTAAAAATTTATTTTGAAATTCATTGTAAAAAATAGGCGTCGCTCCTTTCCCCTGCGCGGGCAAGAGGAGCTGCCTCTTTGAAAGCTTATACATGAAACGCAAGGAAGGAAGCTACACGTGAACCCACAGTGGCTCTTCGTGATTTAACCCAAGACCTCCACCAGGGGCATTGTGTCAACGCCCATCAAAGCGCTCTGAACACCTGCCGCGAATTCATAGAGAGCTCTCTGGCCGCATCAACACCCATCAAAGCACTCTGAATGCATGCCGCGAACTCATAGTGAGCTCTCCAGCTAAGTCAACGCCCATCAAAGCGCTTTAAACACCTGCCACAAACTCAAAGCGGGATATCTGGCTGCATCAGCGCCCATCAAAGCTCTCTGAATGCCCGCCACGAACTCAAAGTGAGCTCTTCGATCGTGTTAACACCCATCAAAGCGCTTTGAACACCTGTCACGAACTCATAGTGAGCTCTCCAACGCTATCAACGCCCACCAAAGCGCTCTGAATGCCCACCACGAACTCATAAAGAGCTCTTTGGTCACATCAACGCCCATCAAAGCGCTCTGAACGTCTGTCGCAAACTCATAGAGAGCTCTTCGGCCAAGTCAACACGCAGGAGGGTGCTCTAAAAATTTCGCCGTAAGTTCGTCAAAGTTCTCTGACATCGTTCCTTAGAACAATTCCCAACTCATGCTTGTAATACTATGTCATAGGTGACTCAATCTACAACTAAACTCGTCGATCTGTCGCGACCCTATCAACAACAAGACCTCCATTGGGGGCTTTGACTATACCTGACTGCAAAGCTACAAGAGTACCTCCATTAAAGCGACGTCTAGAATATACGGAAAGTTACAAAAATCCAAAGACCTCTGTTGGGGGCAACAACTCTATTAAGCGCATCACCCCTAAAGGGTCTCACACTTGGGGACTATGTACTTCCCAGATTTAAGAAATCAGGATGTGGTCTCCTCTTGCTTGGGATCAGAACCATCTCGGCCTTATGGGAAGAAAAGTAACAAGCACTTAAGCGTATCGCCCTAAAGGCCTCACACTTTGGGGGCTTATGTACATCCGAGATGTTGATCCCATATTAGAGATTGAACTGCCAAAGTACTTAAGCGTCTCGCCCTTCCCATGACTCACGTTTGGAGGGTTATATACATATGAGGGTTTAGCCCGAATAAACTACCAAGTTGGTCAATAGAGCTCAACCACGAAGTAACTACCAAGTCGGGCAACAGAGCCTGACCACCGAGCAACACTCTGTCCGACCAAGAGAGCCCGACCACATAGTAACATCCTGTCCGACCAAGAGAGTCCCACCAACAGGGCTAGACCACGTAGCAACAACTTATCCAGCAAACCAGACATGCATTCATAGACATTTAGGAGGATGTACAAATTGTCTCTTATGTTACGATTGCCACATCAATAACCATAAATACTGATTTATGACATTTACTAATATTACCTGACAAAAAGAACTATAAAAGAGAGACATGTTCGCAGAATAAAAGGGTCCACAATTTAATAGAAAAAACATTTATATACTACAATTTCTCCCGATCAATTTCAAAAAAAATATCATTTTATTCTTCATGAACACTAACGACGTTAAATATTTTTTTATTATTTTAATAACTAAAATTCAAAATTTAAATATACATGTTTGATCTCGATCCAACGTTAAACAAACAAAATGAATTATGTATTTTTGAGAAAAAGAAACATCAATTCAATTATTTGTTAGAACAAAAAAGCCCTTTATTAAACAACCTAATACAAAGCATCCTATGTTAAAGCGATGTAAAAGGGTTTGGAATTGACTACCTTTAGTCACCATGTTTTTGGTGACTTTGTGTGTGTCTCTCTCTAACAAATATTTCTCCCTCATCTAAATGATTAATTATATTAATTTATGTATGTTATTTTTAGCCTAAAGTTACCAAAGATACCTAAAACCAAAGACACCCAATCCACTCCCCATAAAGGTGGTACAAAAAGAGACGTTACTTTGTCTTAATGCATATTGACAAGACGAAACACATGAAACGGACTAACACGGGTGATGCGTAAAATCTATTTATGGTTGTAACACAACCGTACTCTAAACTATAAACCATAGTTAGATGCTAAAGCGATGTAAAAGGTTAATTTTAGTGGAAAGATGAACGAGGAAGACAAAGTGGGAAGATTGTTTAGGAAATTGGCTGGAAAATTACTGCACAGAGTAGTGGCGTAAGACAGCGACTGCTCACTAACTCTTTAAACCGACACAAGTCCGTGAACCAAAGGGTTGTTCAAGTAATAATATTCAACAACTATAGATAAAGAAAAAGACAAACATATATATATATATACAGCCGTAAAAACTATTTCATCTTCCGAACACATTTATAAATAATAAAAATTACTTTTATGATTATTAAAAAATTCAATCAAATATTTAATTTTTAAATTTTAATAAAAATATTAATTAAATTCATTATAATGTCTTCTTTATTAAATTTAACAAAATATTAAAAAATAAAATAGAATGATATATTAGAAATTAGAATATTTAATGATTTAATAATAATAAATTTTTGTTTATAATAATAATTAAAAATTAAAATATTTTTATTGTTTATAATGTGTCTGGAGAATGTATATCCATGGTTAAAGATGAAATTCTTAATTTAAACATGACTCAGCATCTTCCAGCTTGTAATTGGTGTAATGTAATGTCAATTTAAATGAATTTTACAATCATATTTTTAATTTAATAATTTAATATTCAATTTTTTATCTAAACTAGTAATTGAAATTTTATTTTTAAAAGTAAGTAAATGGAATGTTTCCGTTGGAATTCACTTTCTTACTATTAAATTTGTGTACAACTATCAACTAAAAAAGATTTGGAAGTAATTAGTTACTCATTTTTTTTTCTTCTCCCTTCTGTATTGAATTGAGTACTCATAATGGTCCTTTAAATATAATTATTTTGTTTAGAAAAAAAATTATATGTTATAAATTCAAAATAATTTCTCACACAATTAACGACTAAGTTGATTTATGGAATACAAATTAAATTTTAATAAAAAGACAATTTAGTAATATTTTTGTTTAATTATTATTTTTAAGTTAAATTACCATTTTGGTGTATCATTTTTACCTAATTTACAAAATTAATTTTTTTTATTTTAAAATTCAAATAATTTTCACTTTTTACATTTTTATTAAAAGATTGATGAAATTTTTATTTTTTAACCTATATTTTTATCTATAAAATTTTATTATAGATTTATATATGATATTTTATCATGTTTTATAAAAAAAAAACTGTCATTTAAATAATAAAAATATTATTAATTTTAAGTGTAAAAATATAAAAAAGAATCAAAATTATTTAAATTTAAAATAAGAACATCTCAATTATGTGAAACGGACACAACAAAATTTTAATTAAACTTTAAATAAAAGAATTTTTTTTTAAATTTTTTTGCTCTAGTTTTAAAGTTTGTGTATTAGGTGTTGACCCATTACACATTACACACCGGCCAGAGTAAGTCCACGATACAAAAGGTTGGCGCACATGTGCAGGCAAGATAATTTAAGTGGTGGTGTTGGTCATGAAACATTATTGGATAAATTTATTACTAGTTTAATTGTTTAATATGGCGATATAAAAGCAAATAATTTAATCATTAATCATTAGTATAATATTGACACCAAAAAACAGAGACTTGTATCAACAATCTTTATTAAAGTTCATATTGTCTAAAAAAAATCATATATAAATTTTTTTCTCTTAAAATTTATTCATTTATTTAGGTAGCATTTCAATTTTATAAAAGAAGTTTGGAGGAATCTTCAAAGCCATTATTGTTGATGCCTTAATAGCTGTCCTTCCACTTCTCTAACCTTACCCTCTCTTTTTATATATTCTCTCCCCTTTTCATTCATTGTTCACTACTCTCTCTTTTCTCATCTTTTCTCTCTTTCAAACAATTTTTCCATCTCACAAAAACCGCATAATGGGTTCCTCTGCAGCAGTGCAAGTTTTTCTTATCTTAGCTCTTCTAGCCACTTCTTGTTTTGCTCAAGCCCCAACCGCTGCACCAACACAGCCACCAACAGCAACCCCATCACCCAGATCTCCAGCACCTGCAACACCACCACCAGCAACACCACCAACTGCAACACCGCCACCAGCAACACCACCAACTGCAACTCCTCCAACTGCAACTCCTCCAACTGCAACTCCACCTGCACCAGCCTCTTCTCCAGCAGTTTCCCCTCCAGCCCCCACACCAACCGGCGGACCTGCCTCTTCTGCTTCACCTCCTGCACCTACTCCAACCTCCACAGCAGGTGGCCCCGCTGCTACACCCTCTGACTCTCCACTTTCTCCCTCTGCAGCATTTTCCTTCAGCAAACCCATCATTGCTGCAACCGCTCTCTCTGCAGCTCTCTTCGCCATCGCTTTCTAGGATTCGTCCACGTGGATCTTGATCTGACTTTTCATTGACGGACGGATGGGATCTATTTGATTTAAATTCTCTTTCTCACTAGCGTTTTATTTTGTTTTCATGTGTTATTATTATTCTCTTTCTCTATTTATACTTTTTCCTTCATGTGTTTGTTGATTCGACGGACGGACGGGATCGATCTTCATGATTACGATGATGATTTATTTTGTGATTCATTTTGCTTTGCTGTTCACACGTGTATGTAGATGACCGTGATGATTTCATTGTACATCCATTAATTCATACAATAAAATTGTTTGTCATTCTTTTTACCCCTTTTTCTCTCAAATTATCTTATTCTTTTAGAGTTAATGATTTATTATTGTAGTGGAAATTTAGTTTCTTTTATTAGATTCAATAATTGCTGGTGTGACAACGTTAATTTAAAATAATGTGTACAATTATTAAAATTTGTTGGCGAATAGAGTGGCGACATTGATATTTGATCGACTCGTGTGCTTAATTTTTATTTTATTGGTGTTACATGTAGAGGAATAAGATTAATGGTACTGACAGTGGTTCAATAATGATATGGTATTTTGGATGGTGCTTCGATTAAATGAGGGGTTCGTAAGTATGGCAGCTCAAATTTGTGATTTTGTAGTTGCATAACGATTTAGTGGGCCAACTGACTTAAAATTGCATGCCGTTTTTTTTATTTCTTCTTTCAAGTCAATGTTTTTAAAACATGTTAGATCATCGAGGTCACAAAGTGAAGTTTTATGATCGTCTTTGAGAACGTGTAAAATAGACTATTGCACAAGACATATGAGAATTTGTGCAAAAGTGTGAAGTTTGTCACCGGAGCAAATGTCAAGTCTTATAATCGGTTGCGTTTGCCAAATCAAATATGGGAGGAGTTAACAATGAATTCGCTGGGAAGCTGCCTAAGGCTAAAAGGAAGGACACTATTTTAGTGGTAGTGGACAGTAGAGATGGTAATAAGTTAAGCAAATCTACATGATCTATAACATCACTTATATAAGTCTGATTTGGTCTGAAATATTTAATAAAAAAAAATTAGATTTAGATTTTTTTTAAAAATATATTTAATTACAAATATATGAAGTGTGATAGATCGACTTATATACGTATATCTATTAGACAATAAACTAAATAGTATATAAAGGTCATGTTATCGATTTAAAAATAGGTAAAATTAATTATTTGAAAATTTTACTGTGAAATAAATTTTTAAATAGACTTTCTGTTAGTTCTCTTGTTTTAAGATTGACTTAATTTTTGTAAATTAAATAATAGCAGCAATAATGTAATGTATAATAGGATGTATAATCTTGTTAAGAAGAACATGTACAACAAGAAATCCTATTATAATGTCAGAACATGTTGTGCTGAACTAGGAACAACATGTAAAAGAAGATGTCTTGACATCGCGCCTGCTGAGCTGGATTAATGAGATTCAGTTTGTTTTTAACATAAGCAGAATATTCAGGAGAATATTATGCATCCTATGTAGCGCATATTTAAAGGTCTAGAAAACTCAATCAGAAATCAAGGAGAATGGGGACTTTCTAAATAAGGAGATTATTTAGGAAAGAAAAGATTGAAGACCTTTCTTGGGGCAGAAGTTTCTGCAGTTTTTTACAGGTGATTTGCTGTGATTGAAGACCCAAAACCAGTTGGGTAACATATTATAAATAGAAGGGTTTGTAACCTAGAAAAGATACGGCTCAAGATGTAGAAGTCTAAGGTTTGTCAAGGTAAATCTCCTAGATTGTGGGAAGGTTACCAAGTTCACCTCAAAGCATGTAGGTAAGAGGTGTATTATTCTTAGAGGAAGCTTTGAAGCAGCTCCAGGATGTGTTCTTAGTTAGGAACAAAGCTAACAACAATGGAGTTTGGCTTGGAGACTTAGCTAGGTTGTCATGGAAGTGTGTCTTCCAAACTGTCTATGTGTGTGATCAGAATTTTAGTGAAGGACCGTCAATGCAGTGACTGAGGTGTTGACTACTAGACATTATTGCGATGATTGGAAGTGGGATGGAGATATTCCATATCTAGGGAGGACCTAGGTAGAAGGGTCATTGGGTAGTGATTAAGTGCGTAGATCGTCAACGGGTGTGTTGGCTGTAAGGTCTGCAAATTGATACTGCTGATAGTGGATTTCACTCTTGCTTGGTAGCCCCCAGAGTATGTGTTATTGTACACTGAACTGGGTAAGTAATTCTGGTGTGTTCTTTATCTTTTCATTAATGTTTTATCTTGCCTGTGTGTTTATGTCAGATCAGATGTCTTGACATCCTTGTAGGACACCTGAGTCTATTGCGCCAGAATTTCAATTGGTATCAGAGCAGGCATCATGTTCTGCTCTGGGTGAGATCTTGGAAAGGTACTTTCTGGTCATGGGAAAGGAATAAAGTATTTACTGAAAAGAGGTATGAACTTGGACAATTCATACTACTCCATGGATAATCCATTGGCAAGAATCATTGGTTTATATGTGACAGATATTGTTCCTGGCTGGCCTGCAGCTTAGTGGGAAGTTGCTGTATGTAGGGTTTATTTCTTCAATCCTAGGTTTCCACGCTTGAACTTGAATAGTGGTTTAAGCATTGTGTCTGAATATTGTTGAGGAGTTCGTTATATTCCGCTGCATGGTTTCTGATATAACTCTGAAAGTATGGGAATGATACTAGGGTTGTTACCCTCAACAAATTATATGTTGACATTTTCAACCGTATTAAAAGTGTCAAAGATACTTGAGATTTTCCTCAAGTCCACTCATAAAGACATTTATCAATAAGATTGTTTGAACAATAGTGCTCATATACATCTGCATATATACCTTAAAGACAGTCAAGTATGGTGTGTTCCAAGAAGAAGGAACCGATGCTCTACGGGATGTTAGAACGTTATTTCAGCAGGCATGCAACTATCAGTTGAAGAACAAATGCTTTGGGTGTTGAACAAAAATTTTATGAATACTTTTTGGTTTAGAACCTACTCCTGACCTGAAAGAGGAGGCATCTAGTTTGTGGAGGTTGATTAGGATACGATCAACAGTCTACTTCGTGTGAGCTCCATGCTCTTGAGAAGAACTCATAAAGGAATCTCCACCTGATCCTTTATGTATATGAGATGAGCTAGTATCTGGAAGATCTTTCTGATCAAAGGAACTAGACTCATGGAATCCTGTTTTGGCCATATAATAAATTATGTTTGAAGAGGAGTTTTGTGATCCAACCAGTGTTTGATGCTCCTGAGTATTTCTTTAATTTCCCTTAAGGAAGAGAATTGGTGATTCTCTTTTTGTATCCTCAGAAGTTGTTGGAAAAGATCCCCTTGTCAAGGGTTGATATAATATCAAACAGAATGTCATGATATCTTTGAAGATGTTAAAATCTGAAGGGATTTGTTTTTGAAGAACCAAGGGAAACAGATACTTTTGAAAAGTAAAGATAATGGAATCCATCATCTCAAAGTCAGACATGAGGTCTAAAGAAAAGCTTATTGAGATGTGGCTCATGCAATCCTCTGCATATGTTGATAGTCTGATCCTGAAGATTGGTCAGTTGTTGTTAGTCTGTTTCCTTGTGTTAAACCCCACAAGAGTTGATTATAAGTTACTATGGAGGTTACCCCTAAAAACCATAGTAAGAATGGATGATGTCGTATCTAATGTCGGGACATCATCTCTAGGTGTGTGTTCCCTATAAAAGGAATTTGTTGTGTAGATCATGAGGTGAGTATTGTGGAGTTCAAAGTTGGAATGTTTGATCATGATGGAGCTAAAGACCAGTCTCTGACCAAGTCTGGAATGTTGAAAGGATCCTTGTGTGTTAAACAATGAAGAAGAAGGATGTCAGCTCAAGTGCTCTAACATCTGTTGAAAAGGAGTATCATCTGCAGTTGTGTGAGGAAGTTTTTACTTTGATGACAAATACATTATAGAGAGCTGAGTACTTATATAAGGCGTGGATGCAAATCTACTATCTGAATATGATGAAGTTGATTATGTTGGATATGTTGATGTCACTGTAAGAGTGATACGACGATATGAATGGATGTTGATATTGTGTTGATAATTGACATACATATGTATATATGAGAATTAAATTGTGTATGTGCTTTTGGTGTTGAAAATGTTGTTAAGATGTTAATGTAACGTTGTATATCCAAGTATAAGTGTGTTACCAATTTAAATGTTGATATGTCAAAATATTGTTGAAGTGGTTGATAAGTTATTATCGATTATGTCGCGGACATGTTGAATGATTAGCACGTGTGGATTTGAATTATATCATATTGAGCGTTGTTATGTCGAGAAAGTAGTGGTTGAAGTGTTGCCAAACGCGAATTGAAGATCAGAGAGTTGGATGCGAAATTCGCATTAAGAGTGACCCTATCAAGTAGATTTTCGAGGAAGAAAATATTCTAAGTGGGGGAGAGTTGTAACGTCCCGATATTTAATTATCTATTTAATTAAATATTTTTGAATATTTTTTATTAATTCAAATTTTTATCGTCGATGTCGGAATTATTTTATTAAGTTAGAATAATAATTAATTGGATTTAATTTAGTGGAATTAAGTTAAGTGTTATTTTATTATTAAGTTTAAATGTAACATTGGGCTTATTTGGTGGTGGTGTGTAGTAATTAGAGGGGTATGTTTTTTTAGGCCCATTTGAGTTTTTATGATTAAATAAAATAGTAGTATTATATTAGAAATAGAAGTAGAAGAAATATGAGAGAGTATTGTATCAGGAAGAAAAGAAAAAGAAGAGGAAAATAGGGTTTGGGAGAAGAGGAGAAGAACAAGAGGAAATTTCTTCAAGTGCCATTTTCCCCAAAAAATTTGGTTGAAGTCTCTTAGAGCTGCTCCTAATCCGAGGTAAGGGTGGGGTTCTAACTCTATAATAGGGTGTATAATTAATAGTATGTGAATTTGAGTTATGAATATTATTTTTAATTGTGTTTGAACTTGGTATA